TTTCACCATTATGAGGTCACTCACTCGTCATCAAGTTTTATATATTAAAATCAAGATATTTTTACATTCGCGAGATATTCGTAAACCAAATCTATTCTTTATCGTGGCCATTCCTTCTACGAATTTAAACAAAATTAAATAGTATACGTTTGAAAAATTATTCGAAATTAAATCGTACGTCAAGGGGTTAAAAATATCCCAAATATTAGTTTTCATTGGCCTTCATTGAGCTCATTGCTCATCGACTTTCCATCATAAGCGAATTTACACTTAATAGTTTCATATTGAAACATCAACGCAACTTTAACGAACACCAAGCAATGCGACCCTATAACTTGCAGGAACACTCCAGTGATACCGACTAATATTCAGCGAATGTAATGCTACTAGGAAATTCCAGATGTTGCAAAACAATTTGAATGTTAGTTATGGAACTATGCAGTCTTGCATTATATCAATCCTTCATAGATATCGAACGATCAGAGAGCAGATGAGTGCTTTGCAAAGAACTTTATGTATTACTACGATCTATTCAATGATATATTAGTTTTATAGAACATTGATTTCATTTCACCCCAAAAATAACGAAATCGCCTAAGTGGATTATATTGGTGGTAATATTGTACAATACAGAGGCCATTCTAGAGGCCAAAATAAGACGAAAATCAAGAATATCAATTTCTTGATGAAGGCTTCGTTAAAAAGTTATTAAAAAATTAAAAAATTCCAAATCATTCTGAAAAAATTATTTTTAGTTTCAGGGGCCAATTGCAATCATTTTTGGTGATTAGACATACCCCCGAAATCCTACGCACTTTCGAGAAAAAAATTCCTTACCGAAAATGTCTGATCATAGCGTTGAGATGTTTCCCTGAAATTTTTCTGCGAAAAAAAATTTTCTCAAGTCGTCCTGGAAAAATTATTTTCAGTTGTGGGGGTTAATTATAATCATTTTTGGTCAATAGACACAACCCCGAAATCCTAACCATTTTCGAGAAAAAAATTCTTTACTGAAAATATACTGTGTGGCCAGAAATGTTGCTAAGCCTCAATCAAGAAATTAGTATTAGTAATAAAATTTTTCCCAGGGGTGGTCGAACACCCTGTATATTCCCCATACACAGAAACTTTTCAATGTTCATTATACTAATCCATTTTATTTGGAAAAATATGAATAACGAAGAAAATATTGCCTGCTGAAATTTAAAAATACTGGAATCAATAAATGTAAAATAATTTTATTTTATGCGTTGACAGTATAATGGCATTATCGACAAAATGGGAGACAGTAATTGAACGATAAAGGAATAGCGATTTTTCATAAAATTCAATGGCACATTGGCTTTGAGTTCCAATATAAAATTTGAAACAAACTTATAGGATTATAAAATTTCTTTTTGTTTTCAAAAAGAATTTTAATTGCGGAAGGTAGGGAAAAGGGAACAATGCATTTTTGGATTCGTTTATTTGACGAATATATCCGAAATTTTTCATCCATTTCATTTTATTTTTTACTCGTGTATCAATACATTTAACCGATTGCATTTTCGAGAAATATTCAAAATTTCCTTTTCGAAACGCATTCTCCACATTTTAATGTGTACAAAAATGTTTTAAACAACACGTTAAATTGAAAGGTTTTAATATGGTTTTAATAATCGGCATGAAATGCATTCTGTGTAATCGATTTTGAAAAATGGATACAATTTCGTACGACAAGAGCATTGGAAAATTTAGCGATTGAAGAGTTTCCGCGAAGTGTTCTTTGGCAAAATCAATACACTCTGCTACCACGGGATTAAGCGTGTAACAAATAGTTTCCGTTGCTTTTGTTCCATTTCTCGCGTTTCTAGCGCGACGATACTCGCGCGAGGATTCTAAATTCTACGTGAAAGTCTGTTCCGCGAACGTGCGAACAAACGAGACAAAAAATGGCGTTTCAAACAGGCTTTACGCGTGTTTCCAGGAAAAATATACACAGAACCGACACGACACGCAGCCTCAATAATTAATATCCATGGTCACGTGAACATAATATCGTTTACGTGCACCGTGCTTTTCATAATCGCGCTTGCACGGCCTCTTTAAGTTTTTCCATTCAATCAGGGGAGTCCTTGTTCGCTTCTTGAGCGACTGAGTAGGCGATTAATTGGGGAAGTATCACGAGGGGCGGAGAGGAGAGAAAAAAAATAATTGCGTGCTCCCGTCGACTAATTAAGTGTTAATATATCCTGTCGTGTGCGTTCGCGTTGACTAATTAACCTTTTACGCTTCGTTTACGTCCATTCACAAAAACATATCCGTGACTTGTTGCTTGAAGGGTTGCCGTTGATATCTCGAAGATTTAACCCTCCATACTTAGGGAGAAGGTAAAATATGTTTACTCTGCAATGAAGTCCAAACAAAGACTGCTTACCCTTCTCTGGTTAAACCATTTTGGCTTCGAATTTTACGTAGTAGCTAATTATCAATCTTAAACAAGCTATTTTTATTATTTAGTGAGAGCAATATAATAGAAAATACAATAATAGTGAAGGTAAATAAGACGTGGAATAATACGAATGCGAATTGAACATAATTGGAATGTTCTAGCATTTTTCTACCGTGTGCATTAATTTCTTTAATTTGTTAAACGTGTTGTGAAAAAAGTAGGCGTTTAATAATTGTTAACAACGAACGCTATAAGAATCGAAGATATATTTTTTAGTTATAGAGAAACATGTAGGTAGTAAGAAAGTCCCAGTATTTTGGCAGTAAAAAATAGTGCTTTTAGCGCTCGTAAGAATTTCAGAGAAGCTTTTAAATGAAGCGTCTGAAAGGCTCCTTTGATGATGATACACGATCTTGAAGGAGTTTAAATCCTTTTAAGCGTGCTCGAACGAGAGTTTCTTTCGCAGCTGGTCCTCTTTTTAGCATCGATCATTATATTTAAAAAAGCGTTATGTTAGATCAAGTGGATTCGAATTAAACAAATTAAAGGCACGATTCACGGTTGGCTCGAAATTTGGCTGACGTTTCTTACCCCGTGTTTTCGACATTTCGCCGAACAACTTAACGATGCAATTAAAGCGCACGAAATATTAATTACAGGCACGGTAATTTCTCGCGCGGATTATTAAAGATAAAAACGTTAATGCTGAAAAATTCAGCGGATCCGGGCGCGAGGTTTTAAATGCAGTTTACGACGACAATCGGGGGCGATTCTAATAAAAAATCACGTCTAACCGGTCGATGGTAGGATTTTAATTGTCCAAATTTAATCGCCGCCAGAAAGTAATAAATGCGCCCGGCCGTCGGGGTCGGCACGATACGCAAAAATAAATTAATGAACTTCAATATTGTTGGTGATGTTCATCTTGCGTATCGCGTACGCGATGCAGAAGTAAAACGTTCGGGAAACGATCCGAGATAATAATTGTGATTTACGGTCTGGTAGTTATAATTCCCAGCATCGACGACAAATTACGCGTCTGCTTTTCAAAATTGCACGCACACGCCGCCCACCAGCGTCCACGCACCCACGAGATTTCGAAACGTTGCTTTTTATAGGAGGTAACACTACGTGATTTCACATTTTCGGCATCGATAGTTATGGCAAAATTGCTCGCGCCTGAATTTCATACCACGACCGTCCAGATATTTGATACGATTTTTTTTATTTTATATAAACTATTTCGTTGTTGCACGTTTTATTTTTTCGTTGAAAAGGCCTAACATTTGGGCGTTATTAGCCTATTAATTTAGGACTATCACATGCATCGGTTTCGAATTTTTTACAGACATTTCTGCACTTTCCAAGCGCACGAATATATTTTTCCAATCGTTAATTACTGTTCGTTTTCGATAAAAAAAAATTCTCTCGTGACATCTATGATTAAACATGGATTAAAGAAATCCAAAAATAAAAATAAAAACTGTTTCGTATGCTTAACTTCCAATTTCAGAATTTTTGTTATTTTATATAAACTATTTCGTTGTTGCACGTTTTATTTTTTCGTTGAAAAGGCCTAACACCTGGGCGTTCTTAGCCTATTAATTTTGGAACTATCACATGCATCGGTTTCAAATTTTTCACAGACATTTCTGCGCCTTCCAAGCACACGAATATATTTGTCCAATTATTAATTACTGTTCGTTTTCGATAAAAAAAAATTCTCCCGTGATGTCTATGATTAAACATGGTTTAAAGAAATCTAAAAATAAGAATAAAACTGTTTCGTATGCTTAACTTCCAATTTCAGAATATTTTTTATTTTATATAAACTATTTCGTTGTTGCACGTTTTATTTTTTCGTTGAAAAGGCCTAACATCTGGACGTTCTTTACCTATTCATTTAGGACTATTACATGTATCGATTTCAAATTTTTCACATACATTTCTGCGCCTTTTAAGCACACGAATATATTTTTCCAATCGTTAATTACTGTTCGTTTTCGATAAAAAAAATTCTCTCGTGATATCTATGATTAAACATGGATTAAAGAAATCCAATAATAAAAATAAAAACTGATTCGTATGCTTAACTTCCAATTTCATAATTTAATAGAAAATACATATTAAATACATATTAAAAATTTCTAAATAATGAATGCTACAAATTGCCTGAAAGCAGGAAGGTTCAATATGCACTTTTAAGACGCTGTAACAGTTGCTCTGAACTGTAATTTAAAATGTAATTAAGTTTAAAAATTGGTTTGGCCTTTAACGACTGTAATTACCGAAACTATTGATCGGTACGATGAAGCCGTTCCCAAGTAATGGAAAAAACGTAACGCTCCCACATTTTTCAAACGCTTTGTTGAATTTATTCGGGAAAGCTTCAAAGTGAAATGGAAAAAGGGGAAACGTTATTTAAAAACCTCGTTCGAATGAAAATTACGTTTACGATAATATTAATGTTTTTCAAAATTAACGAGAAATGTAAAGAACTTGTAAAGCTACTTTTTGCTATACCTGAATATTCAGCAAAATTGCGAAACACCATGGAATTTGCACTCACCTGTCGTAGTAGTAGTCCCTGCAATCAAAAACATAATCGTCGATTAGTCATACAATTTTATCAACAATACATAGTACTAGTTTTTGAATAATAAAAGAAATTATGCAATATACTTACAATTATAAATTATGAACATAATATTACTAATCGTTCAACACGGAAAAAGAAAAGAGCAGGTCGTCGCATTGTTACAAAATTCCTTTGAGAAGTTGCGTGCACATTTATCGTGTTATTCCTTTATCATATTTCCGCAAACTTTTTACAGTAAATTTTAGACAAACGTGTTCATCGATCTGAATAGCGGAATGTACGAAATTCAATGACATGAATTTCTGCGTACGTTTAACGTGCAACGAGAACAAAATAAACGTGAGTGCGATGAAAACGTAATATTTTACGCTTTTTAAAAAAATAACAATGGCACTGACAAATAAAAGAATGCTCGAAAAGTTATTCTCTTCTATTTTTCTCTCACGTTACTATGTAAAATAATGCGATATAATATTTGTGTATTTTTTTGTTCTACAAGCGGAGGAATAACTATAATAAAAGAGCAATTATTATAGACTGTACAGACTGTGGTTAATGTTAGGATTCTTGATACATAAAAATAAAATAAATAATGGTGATAGACGAAACGAATATAAAAATCTGAATTTGGTAGTTTTAAAAGTCGTTCCTTTCCTATTAAAGTGGACGAAACATCACTTTTAGGCTTCATTTACACCAACGATCAAATCTCCGTGCAGTCACAGTTCAATCACAGTTTAGTGTTTCCTGAATCAGCTAAAGCACGACCAGTGTTCTCACATTCCAGACACGTTCCAATGTACTGAATAACATTTCAACGGCAATGAAATCGTGACTAGACGATTGCCGCAAGTCAAATGTAAGGGTTTGACGTTCATTTTCCGCTACGTGTGAAATCTGGTACTTTAAATGCATTCTGGTTCCACTTATGCAAATAGTCTGATAAGAATTTTTCCGATACAATCGTCCCTTCTACTCCGATAGCAAAATAAATAGATTCGAATTTATTCTCGAACCATATATGGCGAATTTACAACCTCCATTTTTGCAAATAAACTTTCGTTACTATGGCAATCGCGATCATTTCACTTTTAGATCAATTTTTTTTTATTTTGCATTTGTTAAATTAATATGCTTCATATTTAATTATCAACAATAAATGGAAATGTAAGCCCAACTTTGACAGAATTCTTTTGTTCATTTCGAACGATTCTTTTACGGTTCCCGCAGTTTAAAAAATCATCGAACGTTCGACAAAAATATACTATATATGGCGAGTGCTTTTCAAATGTTTAATAAACCCATTCGAATGGAAGAGGCGGCGCTGCCCTTTGTCGAGTCGTTCGTTTAAACGGCAAACTCAGTGATACGAGTCAATTTCTGCACCGTCTGCAATATCGATTGTTCGGAAAGGTTTTCGAAGAACCGCGCTATCATTAAATCGATTGGTTAAATATCTAATGCTGATAGGTGTTGCAGTTTTTATGCACTTCCGAGAATGTTTTTACAGCCTTGTTCAAATACTCGCACGACTTTTGCGTTTTCCACGTACAATAAAAGTTGTTGGCTTTATCTTCTATTCGAAAGTGTTATCAGTTATTTCTCTAGTGGAATTTATTTCGTTCGCGAAACTTCGTATTCGAAATGGCTGAACCACATAGTATTGCGAAATAAAACACATGGAACGTCTCTTCAAAATATAATTGTTAATAACAAATCATTGGAAACGTCACGGAAAGATTATATTTTCCTAAATAAATTGACAACGCTTATAATTGTGAATTCGACTATGAAAACGCAAAGGAAATAACACGAAATATTATTACCGAATGTGAACCGAATTTTAAATATTTATTGTGTTAACTACAATCTTTTATCACAAATTATAATAATTAAACAATGAATGGGAAACATTTGTACGTATTAACAGTTGTACAGAGTGTTGGAAGATATGGTTCTCGATGGAGCGTAGGAAACGTGACTATGTTGGCAACTTTTCCGCATTATGGTAATGTTTACGTTACACGAATATAGTACCACAATCCTATCAGATAATTCTCCTTTACAAGGCGAAAACGAGAAGCAGTTGAATTTTTAAGCAGCTCCGAATAATTGGTCTTCCACCGGCTATTTATGCAGACAATGCGGTAAGCTTCCGTTTCATTCGTTTTCCGAAAAGCTTTTGTGATACTTAAGGTTATCAGACATTACGCCGGGATTACAGTGAATTACACAGTCCTGTATGTACACACAGGCGATAAAGGTGCAGCGACGCGAAAGAAATGGTTTGCAAAAAAAAAAAAAAAAACACGAAATAGACGGAAAGACGAACGAATTTCGGGTCGGAATTATTCAAATGAAAAGCTGGCTCGTTCGTACTCGCAAACGCGAAAATATTTTCAGGTATTCTTAAACGTCGCAATACCTATTGTTTGCTTGAATTATGAATTTAAGGGAAATTAAATTCTACGATATGGAAGTCAATTTGAGATCATTACTTCATTCTTTTTGTATGATTTTTGTGTCGAACAAAGTCGACGAAGATTAAAGAAATTACAAATGATAAAAAGAAGAGGAACGATGAAAACTTGAAATTTAACCATTTCATTGAAACTTTTGGTACTTGCAAGCAAACAATTTGCTGTTGATCAAGTAATATTTCCTTAGAGGATGCCTTTATACCTTTTAAAAGAACTTAAATATTGGACAAGTTCACGGATAAGTAGTCCATTATACAGTTAGTACAAGGAATGTTCTTTGAAGCAGGTTCAGCGATTGACGAGGAAATTGGCAATTACTTTACTTGTTGTAACTGCTACGGTCTGTTGCATTCTAGGTACCAAGATGTTACTTAAATAAATTCATGCTTTAAGAGGTGAACCAATCAACGAGAAAAGGAGACAATAAAATTAATTTCGCGATATTGAACTCAACGTGAAATCGGGAAAAACAATAATTTTTATTTTAATCTGATAGAAAATTAAATTCTTCCGATCGACTTCAAATTTTGTATCTTTCGGAGAGAATGAATGCTCATTTTATTAGTTTAGAACGACGGTAAATAGGTTCTTTGCTCTGTGGAATTGGGAGAAGTAATTTCGTGTAAGATCGGCGAGAAAAATGTATCGTTACAAGGCCATTTTGTGGTAAATTAGTTATTGGATTTTCGTACGTCAATTCGAAAGCGGTATTGGCAAATGTTTTCTAGAAGGTATGGTCCAATATTTATTTAATAAGTGGAACCCAGCAAGGAAGGAAACTACTGATAATCAAGTAGAGGAGAACGCTAATCGAGTTTGTTCAACGATCGAGCAAACGAAAAGTGTTTCAGTCAATAAACGGTCCATTGGTTGCCGTTTAAACACACGATTTCTGCTACTGAAAGAGAGAAAACGAAGGACGCTGACCATGAAATGCCGACGAAAGGATCGACTTCAGAGAAAATTGCCAATTACTTTGATTGCTTTGCTTTCCTGGAAGCTCGTTCTGTTTGGCGATGTTTTAGGTAATTCTGTGTTTTCGTACATTAATGTAAAACGCGGGGGAACATTTCGCGGATAGCTTCAACCAGGAAAGCGAACTAATAGCCAAGAAAAATACTCGCGAAAAGACTGCGAATATGGAGTGGTTGATTTTGATTTGCGTCGTTAATAAACGTCGAACAGATTTCGACGACACTGTACAAATACTATACGTTTACGTCAGCGATAAGAAAAACAGAAATAACGAGGAAAGAAAATATTTTTTATCGGATTAAATCGAATTTGCAAAATAGTAAAAAAAATACAACAGTTTTGTGACGATTATTTGTTTCATTGATCAGCGGTGGAGACGTTGAATATTACTTTCTGGTGATCCTTTGACAAATTTTCTTAACTTTTATCGGTTGCAAAAACGCGTATCGATCGAATGCATAAAGCGCGTGAAAAAAGAAACGCTGCTAACTGGAAAACAATCATGTATTCATGATCTAGAATATCTGAATACTATTCTCTGGTCGAAAGCGCACCTACAACGGTTCCAGCGTACAGCGATTGGACACGAATAGCAAATCGATTGACGATTACTGAGGCGCATAATTCGAAATACAGGATTTATCAAAAGATTCGAACTTCGCTCGGCTATTACTTGATAAATTCAGGCGAGAATGTCGGCGCAAAGGAATCGATCGAGTAGATTGCGAGGGGGAGGGTAAAAAATCCGCAAAAAATACAATATTTCCGCGCGCTGTACGCGGTTCACGTTTAAATAAATATCTAATGCATATTTGCGCAACGATTTCGTGTTCGCGCGTTTCAACAAAAGTATGCATTTTGCGGAATTCGCGGGATTTAAACATTTATTTCGAGCCGTTGTTTGCGAGAATACGAATGTTCGGTCAAGATTTACAAATATTCTGGAAAAATATAACGTTGAAATTTATTTTTAGTAACGTTAATATTTTTATACGTACTTGGTACATAGTATACACGTTTCTTTAATAGCTTTACCGTTTCACGAGTTTATTCGAATATTTGGGAAATAATGAATCTGCAAATGCCATTGAGAGAATCGCAAACGAAACATTTATTTTATGCATTGCAAACTTTGAAACTCCACCGGCATAAAACGATCGTAAATTTCTGGTTTAAATATAATATTCGGATATTAACAAATACGAGGCTTTAACGGCACGCTCTGGAATTTACAAATGCGCGTGTACCTTTAACGATACGTGGAAAATTGAGAACAGGTGTATTCAAAGCGCACGAAAACGAGAGAAACGTCAATGCGCTGAATCGTTACGTACACCGAAAAAATGACGGTGCAATTATGGCGCTGGCGGCGCCATTGAATTCCTTGTTATTCAAAGTTTTCGCGTTTTACTTTGTACGTTTTTTGTCTTTCTTTTTCACGTAGAAAAAAAAAAAAGAAACATTCCCTGTCCACGATTTTTCATCAATGCTGCTTGAATGTCGAAACGAAACAGCGCCAGGACACGACGCGCC